CCCATCCAGGTTGGAGGGGTGTTCCCAGTTAGTGGGTGGAGGGAGGCTACCTGGAGGCCACCTCTCCTCTCCCATTCCCCGTCCACCCCATCTGCACACTCAGTAGATCCTCTGGTGACAGGAGGGGTGGGAGGAAGCTGGGCTTTATCTTCAGACTGACCTGTGAAGAGCCGTCTGCTTAGGCAAAACACATTTCTAACGCATTCTGTGTGGAAGAAAGCACATACTAGAATTCTGTGAATTTATCACAGTGAGAAATGTTAAGTGTAGAAGGGTCCTCCTCAGGTTCAAGGCAAATGAGCTGGCGAAGAACTTCTCAGAGTTCATGCACGAATGCCAAAGGAGATAGGACACGTGCGAGCCACGGCGGAAGAGGCTGCGTCCTGGGCATAAATGTATTGGGATTAATAGAGGCCATGGCGGTCCATTCTAAATGACACAAACTGGTAGAGCCTGCATGTGGGTAGGCTCTGTAATGAGTCAGCCACTCCGCTGTCCACTGGCCTGGAGCCCAAAGTCAGTGTTCAATAAATGTTTTCAGAACACACAACTGCCTTCAGCACCCACGCACCTTTTTCTAAGGAAACTCAACATAGAAAATACAAACAAAATTTCAACTCTAACTGATTACACAATTCTCCCCCCAGCTAAAGACTTCACTGCCACTTTCCTTAGAAGTTCACTGCTAATGCCTGCACGACAGGTCAGCAGAGGTGGGAGGAAGTGTGCCTCTCGAAGCCCGCACCAGCCCCTACCCACCCATCCCCACCAGGCGAGGCCCGGCCCGACACGCCCTTCTTTACCTGCCGTCTTTCTCCGGCTATTCCTCCCTCTTACTGGTTCCATGAGGGCTTTGTGTATGTCATTTCAGTATACTCAGTATTTCCTAAATAGATTGGGCACTTTTGTGCAAGGGGTTTAGTCATCGACTTTACTAGGACACAGTACTTATTTGCTCATTAATAATCAAGCACTGTAAAATCACACACTGAGCACCCGGTCTGACCTCTGCCCTGCCCGCCGGCACAACAGGCTCCGAAACGCAGCGGCTGCAGAACCGGCGAGGTAAACAGGGTGGTGGCAAGGAGGTTCCTACTCCAATGTAAGTTCAGCTGCTGCCTGCTGATCCAAGGGCCGAGACCACCCGGACAGACTGTGCCGAGAGCCTTGCCTGATGCTGGTGCTTCTCGTTCAATAAGCAGGTCTCAGCATGTGCGGGCCAGTCAGTGAACAGGTGGAGGAGGAGGGAGGCAAAGGGCTGGCCTGTGCTAGGAAAGAGATGCTCATTGGGCTCTCCCAAAAGCATCAGCACTTTCTACAGACTGAAAACATTCTTTTTCAGACTTGCCAACAGGTTTTAAGAAGCTGACTCACCCAATTTCCCACCCACCTCTTGACCAAGCTGGAAAAGAAAATCCACTGACAATGTCTCATGTGCAGCATACCTGAAAGTATTTTCTATGGCTCACCCAAATCACAGCGACTTGAATTAATTGTGAAACTCTTTGCAGTTTGCCTGCTGCTTTCAAATCCATTCCCAGTTAAGAGTTACAAGGACACGTGAAGGGCATCTGTGATAGGGAACCGTGCAAGTGGAACTGGCCGTGGCAAGGATGGAGGAAGAGGGGCGGGTTTGTGACTATGGTAGAGGCTAGGGCATCACCGGGCCTCTGGGAGCAGCATCGGTCTAGTTATAAAAACACAGAGAGCCGGGCGCGGTGGCTCATGTCTGTAATCCCGGCACTTCGGGAGGCCGAGGTGGGCAGATCACCTGATGTCAGGAGCTTGAGACCAGCTTGGCCAACACGGTGAAACCCTGTCTCTACTAAAAATACAAAAATTAGCTGGGCGTGGTGGTGTGCACCTGTAGTTCCAGATACTTGGGAGGCTGAGGTGGGAGAATTGCTTGAACCTGGGAGATAGAGGTTGCAGTGAGCTGAGATCATGCCACTTTATTCCAGCCTGGGTGACAGAGAATCCGTCTCAAATATAAAATAATAATAAAAGGCTGAGAGGTCCTTCTGTAAAAGGGGATGATAATGGTTACCTCCTGCGTTGTTTGAGTAAATGAGTTGCCTTATTTAAAGTGTTTGGAATAAGACCAGGCATCCAAGACCTCATACAATAAAAATCATTCATTAAAAATAACCGAAACGAAGAGAAGGCTGCCGCAGGACAATACAGAACCTTTTCAGTGGACAAACATTTTCTTGGGAAACTACTTTTCCTCTTTAAACTGAAAGAACCAAGGAAAGCGCTGGAGACTAAAATCGGTGTCTTTTTACCGGGTGAAATAATTCAAGGCAACAGGATGCAAAGACTACCCATTTTTAAAGCACCAAGGACAAAATGGTTTGTTGTTCTAATTTCCACTTAGATCCAGAAAACTAAGTGGACTGAGAAACAGACACAGAAAAATGAAAGCTGAGGGACCTAGAGAAAATAGAGTCTCCGCCACCTTTGGATCAAATCTGCTCTTTGCTGAGCATATGACTCATTCTCAGGCTGCCCATTCAATTATTAAAATCCTTCAGAGCGGCCGGGAGCAGTGGTTTACACCTATAATCCCAGCACTTTGGGAGGCTGAGGTGGGCGGATCACTTTGAGCTCAGGAGTTTGCGACCAGCCTGGGCAACACAGCGAAACCCTGTCTCTACTGACAATATAAAAATTAGCTGGGTGTGGTGGCGCGTGCCAGTAATCCCAGCTACTTGGGAGGCTGAGGCAGGAGAATCACTTGAATCCAGGAGGCAGAGGTTGCAGTGAGCTGAGATAGCACCACTGCACTCCAGTCTGGGCGACAGAGTGAGGCTCCATCTCAAAAAAAAAATCATTCAGGAGGCCTTTCTCCAGCCCTTGAAAACAATCATCATCACACTCTACATTCTCTCAATAAAAGTTGCATGTGGGCCAGGTGTAGTGGCTCACACTTGTAATCCCAGCATTTTGGGAAGCCAAAGCGGGAGGATCACTGAAGGCCAGAAGTTCAAGACCAGCCTGGGCAACATAGCAAGACCGTGTCTCTAGAAAAAATAAGAGCATTAACCAGGTGTGGTGGCACATGCCTGCAGTCCCAGCTACTCGGGAGGCAGAGGCAGAAGGACTGCTTGAGCCCAGGAGTTCAAGGACGCAGTGAGCTTTGATCAGGCCTCTGCAATACAGCCTGGGCAACAGAAAGAGACCCTATCTCTGGAAAAAAACAAAAGCCAAAAAACCAACAGTTGCACATGAAGTCCTACAGTTTGGCTGCCTTGGAATTCCTAACTCCAGGTACTACCGGCTCCCATCCGTGCCTCCCTCCTCTGGTCTTCCCACCCAGTCCCTGCACCCACGTCTGACCTAAATGCATCTCACTTGCCTTCTAAATACGCCGGCACACAATTGGGTATATTCTCTGGGCTCTAATTTTTACTGGTAAAGGAAGTTAAAGCAAAAGGCCAAAAAAAAAAAAAAAATCCAACCAGCATATATTTATTTTTGAAAGTTAGCTCCCCTTAGGTTTCATGCATTCCCACTTCTCTCCGGATCTCTGGCTTTACAGGCAAGATGGGACAGGCAGGGAGAACTTGGGCATGTGCCTCTGTGGAGAAAGTGACTTCAGAAACCTCGGAGGCTTTATTAGCCTGGGATTCTAACCTCTGGGGGACATGAAAACTCAGAGATGAGTCCTCAGGCTCTATATTCATAAGAATCTTCTCTCTCTCTGTGTGTGTGTTTGTCTTTTTAAACAGACAGCACTGCGCAGTATCCTTAGAGACCAAAGCCAAATGTCCTTCACGTTATTTTCTCTACATTTCAAGAATGTCAGGACCATGCTTCCTACTTAATGTGACCTTGAGAGTTAAAATCAAGGGCAAAAGATCACCGAATTGGGGGGCGAGTGTGAGTTCCCATCACCAGCCACAATCTCTATTATCAAAGGGAGCACGACACACCTCCCGGGCTCTCCGTCCATGTTTGCCTGAAGCAGGGCCAGGCAGCCTCAAGGCCTCCACGGCAGGCTGGGGACATGTGGTGTGGGGAAAGGGGGTGCAGGGAAACTGGGACCTAGGAGAGGAGTCTGAGAAAGAGAGAAGGAACGCCTACGTGGATGAAAAGGAAAAGCAGGAGGAGATGAGGGCAGAGCACAGGGCAGAACAGCGGACACAGGGCTGGGATGATGGGGGGCTGAATCCAGAACCACAGCTGAGCGTTTCCTTCTCATGTGCCCCAGGGACAGTGTGAAGGGTCTGAGTGAACCCACAGGCAGAGTTCATCTGGCACACAGGGGGACGGCCAGGACGTGGCAGACGAGGGCGGCACAAACATGGTGCCTAGACACCACTGCTGGGAGCAGGCTGAAAGGTGTCTTTTGCTCTAAGGACTTTCATAAGACAGCCCCAATCTGGAGACTGACTTTACTTTCATGGCCTTGACCTCTCGGTTTCTTGAGCCTCCTGAGTACCTCCTGCTCATGACAAATAAGTAACTACTTACAACCATGTGACAGATAAATCAGTACAGGTGATTTTTCTTGAGGGATCCCCAAAGGGAAACATATGAGACCACCCATTCTCGGCGGAGGAATGGCAAGAGTCCTCCTGTGAGATCCGAGAGATGACACTGGCCCCGAGCCTGTCCACTGCTGAAGCTTTGCAGTGGAGGGAGAGACCTCAGAACTGTCGGCTCAGCTGCTCAGTGGAGGGCGTTACAATGTTTCCCATCAAAACCACAACACCTCTCTGATTTGGGAATGTAATCATACAATTTCTACTTGGCAAAAATGCTGGTTGGCTACAGAACAAAAAGAACAATCTGAATTTAAGCTATTGCCTCTTAATCCTTTAATTAGACTGAGTCTTTCAGAAGAAAGCACCATTCATGGTTATTGAAGAGAACCAAGAGCAAACAGAAGTAGTGACACACACACAGACAAGTGCGCATGTGCACACACGTGTGCACTTACATGAATGCATGTATTCATATGAATATATGAATATGAAACACTCTCACTGAAGGGCTCAGAGTTTATTAAAAAAATTATTTGTTTCTGAGAGCCATGATTTAGAACATTAAAAAGGTCCTTCTGGGAGCCTAACTTGAGGGAAATGTGGCAAGAGGGAGGGACTTGGCGGCCCATGGGCATGTCACAAGATGCGCCCAGGCTCTCTGGGGTGAACTCTGCTCTGACTTCAGGCCAGAGTGTCTCCCCTGGCAGCGCCCTGACAGCTGAGTGGTCGGAAGGCCCCAGCTAGGGAGATTCATTTGCAATCTTTCTTCTTCTTCTTCTTCTTTTGCACTGGCATTTCCTCTGGCGTAGCATCCTCCACTATCTCCACCGCCTTCTGCAGCTTTTTCTTCCCTCTCCTCTTTTTGGGCTTCAGGGTGACGTCTTGGCCCTCAGGAGGCCGCGTACAGTCCCCAGCATCCTGAGCAGAGGTGTCGGAACCCGCGTCCCAGCAGGGGCCTCTGAGCTGCTCCCCCGCGCTCTTCTTCCTGGCCCCCTGCTCCTCGGCCTCATCCCTCTTGGGATTTTCCTCCGTATGCCTCTTGGCCTTAGGCTTCGGGGAACGCTTCACATCCTTACCTGCGGCCTCTTTGTTTCTCTTCTTCATCGTTTTTCTATCCACCTGAGTCTCCGAAAGGTCAGGCCCTGGATCTGGGACCTGGGGCTTGTTCTTCAGTGCTGCCATCCGCTGGGCAAAGTACTCCTGGATGGTGAAGGCGCTGGTTGTCGTGCTTTTGTTCTCGTCTGGAGTGGAGGAACTGGCATCGCCCTACGGTGGGGAGAGGAGTTAAAAGGCAGGTCAGCATCAGCTGTTCATTCCTCGCCGCACCCGGGAGGCACTCATACCCAGCACTTAGGAGACAAGACTGAGTGCCAGGCTCCCTTTGGCCTCTCCCTTCTGGCTGGCCTGAACTGCAGTCCTGCAGCAAGGCGGCCACACACTCCGGCTGAGTACTAGGTCGGGTGGGAGATGACAGGCAGAAGCTAAGGTCAGAAGGGATCTGGCAAGCCGCCTCCACGGAATTCTGAGTAAACATCTCCCTAGAAACAAGTGTTGTGGTGACTAAGCTCCCAGAGTCTCCCATGAAAACAGAGACACCGGCGTTCTAGAGTTCGGCGATTTTGTTAGACACGGATGTCAGCTTCGTTACGGATTCTGCCGGCCTCTGTGTGCTGATCTAGAAACTTACATGCCACCTGGATAGGTTAACCGTCCATGAGGACAGAAGCCGCATTCTACCCTAGACCCTGGCTTGCCAGGGGCACGCTTTCTGCCCAAAAGGCAGAGCGTGGCCACTTTGGCAGCTGCTCCAAAGGCACGGGCCAGCCTCTGCTGGGGGTGGGGAGCAGGGAAATGCCCCATCTTTCCCCAACAAAAACCAGATACTCAGGACTGTGTCTGTGCTGTTTTTAAACGTGAGGAGTTACTCACACATAACGGCTGGGATTAGGTGAGCCTTATATTTTAATTTTAAATGAATATACTGCATTGTCAGGTAATAATCTACTATAAGAAAAGACATGAAAAAAAGTTATATATCTAAAAGTACATGTTGCTCTAAAGCTTGGGAAGCAAGAGGAAATCCCCAAGGGGAGAATCTGGGATCAAGAATGAAATGCTGGAATCACCATTTGGGTTGAGGCTGCAGTAAGGGGAGACGCACCTGTGAGGCGGGAAACACCTTCAGTTTGAAGACTATGGAAGATGCTTGGAGTCAAGTCCGTGTCTGCAGCAGCTCTGCCCAGAGACTCCGGAAATAACCACGTCATTACATAGCCACACTAACCAGGTTTTCAGTCACCCAATTTCTTCCTTCATACTCATTTACTCCCACAAGAGGAGTCTGGTGTTCCACGCTTTCATGCTGGGAGGGTGAGAAAGGGCTTCTGAATGAAGCAATCTCCAAAGCAGGATTCTACTATTAATCTTCAATTTGACTGGCAGGGTTCTGCTTGTGCAGGTAACTGAATTACAAAGCACCGATTCACAGTGGTCCTCAAAAACCAGCTCAGTGGAATCCAAGAGAACATCCATTTCCGTTCCAGCAGAATCTGTATTATCAGGTATCAACGGACAATTGGGCCTTGAGCAGCAAGTGTCCCAGAGAGCTTTCACCAAAGGGTACATTAACAAAAAAATTATGTGGTTTTGGAATTTCAAAATAGGCGGAACGTGGAATAAGTCAACTGAGTTTTGGAAAGAGGTTTATATTTTATCTATTACTATTCAATTTTTGCTGAAATTCCATCGGGTCATTTTGAGAAAAATAAAAATATCTGCCCCAGGAGATCTTTCTGTTCTTCAAATATTGAAAAAGATCTTATCAAGGCTCTCCCGGTGCTAGCCAACCCCAGTCTCATGAACAAGAAAGATCCTGCCTCCCAGGGAGGGGCACCCTCACAGCCACACTGGGATAGGCCACGTGATGGTGGCCGGCTCGTTTATGCAACAGAGGTCTCACTGAAAGTTTCACAGCACTACAGGAGCCTGCAGTCTGTGGGCCACTCTTTTGGAAGGTATTTGTGAGGCTGGAACTCACATCTGAGTTGAACCCTATGACTCCTTACCTTCCTCATTTATTTATTACCGGGTGAATTCCTGATTTTAATCACAGGAACCAACTAATGATATTAACCATATTTTTTATTACCAGGAAATACAAGACCATTTTTGAGTCACTTGTTGAAGTCAGTGGGACCTTCTAACCCCAGAAATCAGTATGCTTATAACCAACTCCTGCGATGTAAGGAGTTTAATGGGCACGGGCCACTGCACAGGCTTGGCAGGGCATGGAGACAGGCTGAGTCCTGCTCCTTCGCAGCAAAGTGCTGGTCGCACAATGACCAGCTGGTGAGAGCTGCCTGATGCGGCGTAGCCCCCCTCGCACACCTCAGAAAGGTGCCTGTTTTAAAGACCATGATGGACGCAAAGGAAGAATTCACTGAAGACCTGACTCCTGCAGGAGCAACGGCCAGGACTCATCTTTCATACACCAAAGTCAGAAAGTCAGTTTCACTGCAGAGATTCTAATCCTGCTTCTGCATTCTTGGCCATGGCTTCACATAAAAATAAACATATCTTTTCAAGAAAACTAATGCTTTTATACATGGTCTCTATCAACGTAAACAAGTATTGAGAAAAACAAGTTACTTTTAAGTATTCTGAAATGACAGTAACTTGCATTTTCCCACATCTCCATTAAACATAGAGTACAACCTCAGGAAATAAATTCTGATATTTAAACGTGACTCTCACTGCTTCACCAATGTTGAGAATGCCTTTGTTTGCTAATGGAGCTCCAAAACCTAATGAAACAAATTTACGAGTAACTTGAAAACTTCTGGTTGCAAATAAAATACTACCAAGAAATATGGTTAACTCATCATCTTTCCAAATGTGGTTTAAGCTTAGGGATTCAGGAAACGTCTCTCTCCTTTTGAAACTCCAGTGCCTGCTGTCAACTAATGGAAAAAACTGCCAGTACTTTTGCACCAATGTAATAAAATACGCAGAGCTGGCCTGGTCTGTTCACAGTAAGCCTGATGGTCCTCTTCCTTCCTGCAGTGTTAATGAGTGCATCGTACAAAGCATTTGATGGCTGACTCCCAAATGGTAAGTGGCCTTAATTTCTACCCAATCAATAAGTATCTTGTGGCTTTGAACAGAGATGACTCCGGAGCACCTGTTCCCCAGTTCACAGAGCCCTAAGAGTTTAAAGCCAGGCCCATGGGCACCCTGCTCAATCACGTAAGGAAGCTTCACCCAAAGTGACCAGGCCTGAGGGTCCTGAGGAAGGCAGCTATCACCAGCGTGTCAGGCACCTGACATGCGGCATCTCAGCCGACTCTTGCAGCATCCTGAGGAGAGGTGTCCCCTCCACATGACAGGCAGAGAGTGAGACTCCTGGCACTTAATCCACAGCAGGTCTCACAGCTGGGACATGGCAGGAGAGAGACGGCCCCAAGGCTGCTGGCTGCAAAGCCCTTGCTCCCTCTACCACAGGACCCGACTCCTAGCTCCCATATCATGGGACTGCCTTGTTATCTTCCTCTCTCTTCAGAAGCCACCCCAAAACTAAACTATGTATTAACTGACCGCATAATACAGAGAGAAAGGTCCACACTCACCTAAGCTGACTGATGCAGACAGAATATCCACAGAAATAGTACATTCAGAGGAGAAAAACACTACATCAACTTGGTTTGCAATTCATATAAATAAAAAAAGCCTGAAGCCAGAATTAAGAGTTTTGTAATTTATCAAACTAGCATGTACATTCACTTGAAAAAGTGTGACTGTCTGAAAGCAGAGAGTAAAACCCAAGTCCAGGCCTTCCACCCAGGCAAGAAGCCCTCTTGGGCCGTGGCTGGACAGCCTCCACCAGGACACTTTCGATACGGAAAAGTGGCAGCTCTGGTTCTCTGCCTCAGCTTCCTCCTCAGCAACAGGTAGACTTAGGCGCTTCATGGGCAAACACCATGTACCATGGTTAGAGCTGGAGAATCTTAAGGCCATCTCTGGCAGTTCTGAATTATCTTTGAGGAAAAAACAAACAGTGGGGACGAAGGCAAGCTGACCCGGCAGAGGCCCCGCAGGTATCAATTACAATCACCACAGTCCTCTCTGGTCCCTGGAAGATGCCTGAAGCCACACGCACATATCAACTTTTCTCAGATGTCTACAGAATTAGTCTGTCTGCTCCTTTTCGGATCTAGGATCCTCCATCTGGAGACTCTGTAGCTCCACGAGTATCTGCGCCAGCTCCTCTGCGCTCACGGAGGACTTGCTCTTGTGTCATTCAAACGTATATACTGAAATGGATTACCAGCAAAATGCCCAAATACAGAGCGTTCTCTGCTCTTCTCAGAAGAATCTTTTGGGGTAAGGACATGAAACAGTTTGCACAGAGAGCTTAGTGAGGTCCCTGGTGCAGATGGACTTTACCATAAAATCCCCTAGTGATGATCCACATGGCAGTCCGGGAATGGGCTTCAGAGGCCAGCCTTTCACCTCGCCAGCCTTGCTCATACATCACCACTGATCTTTTTTTTTTTTTTTCTTTTTGAGATGGAGTTTCACTCTTGTTGCCCAGGCTGGAATACAATGGCATGATCTTGGCTCATTTCAACCTCCAAGTGATTCTCCTGCCTCAGCCTCCCAAGTAGCTGGGATTGTACCACCACGCCCGGCTAATTTTGTATTTTTAGTAGAGATGGGATTTCTCCATGTTGGTCAGGCTGGTCTGGAAATCCTGACCTCAGATGATCCACCCACCTCAGCCTCCCAAACTGCTGGGATTACAGGCATGACCACCGCGCCAGGCATCACTACTGATCTTAACGGACAAGATGCTGGAAGCTTTCTGAGTTCTACGTCAAGACATGGAGGTCATGCTGTAACAGTAACCCTTCAATGAACTCTGTTATCAAAGTAGACATGCAGAGCTCAACGGTAATGGATTTAGCAACTGGGGTTGTGAGCCCTGCTGGCTACGGCCCATGATGAACAAATGCTCACTGCCACCACAGCCTGTCTGTCATCAGCCTGTGCTGGGTTAGTCTGTGAAAAGTTAAGAAAGCTTGGCAAGTGAGTAGTTTGACAGAACATTCTGCACCTTTCCCAAACTTTCCAGTAGGGCAGTTCTGACAAACACAAATTATGCCTCCATGTATCCCTTCAGGTATGAAGTGACTGTGTGTGACTCGTCAAGACATAGGGATCGTGAAGACCCACTGTCAGCTGTGTGTGTACTTTAAACTCCAACCGAA